AATGTGTTAAAAATGAACTTGATAAAGTTGAGTCTTTGCTTGATGTTGAACATTCCCATGGGTTGCTTACCAAAAAGAGTTCAAAGAAAAATGTGTGCAGAGCTAGTGTTGAAAGGGCATGGAAGCCCAAGAATCATTGATGTTTTGTATTTTGAGGGGATTTGTGTTATAATCTTGTCTTGACATTTGATTTATATATGAATCTTGTTTTTACAATGATTTGTGTTGACTAATATTTCCAATTGATTATTTCATTCTATTCATATGTCTATGTATGCTAGAATAGATGTTCATGTGTTTATCTCTTGGTTTTGTGATATTGATGCTTGTCTATGTGTATTGATGCTATGAATCTAGAGATTGTCAAGGCCTAATGCTTAAATAGAATAATCTTGTGATTTCTTTGATAGTTCATATTCATTTCTTGATGGATTGTGCCTCTACCTTAGTTTAATTAGTTTATTTTTCATGTCCTTAGCTTAGATGTAGTGTAGTTGCTTTACTTTCTTAGAAGTGAGGACAATCCATGCTTATTGTTTGATGTTCCATACTTATGAATACAAGTAGTATAATTCTCTAACTTATTAGTGTATTGATTGTGAGCTTAAATGAATGAATAATGGTTTAGTTTGATATATTGTGCTATTACTAGGTGGTCTAGACAATGTATAATTAATTAGTCATTCAATGTATACTTAACAAATCAATCAACGAATCTCCACATACAATGATCCCATACTCCCATGCTTGAACAATATGTAAAGAAAAGTAAATTATCTCCACGCGGGCTCACAATTTATCTAAGAATGTAAGAACTTGTTACCACGCGGGCCGACGATTTAACTAGAGATTGAGTTAGAAAGATCTCACAAAGGGTTCTTAAGCAACTTCAATTCATTTTTCAATTTTTTCGCTTAGCTTTGCAATTTTTAGATTTTAACCTTTTTGTGCTTAGCTTAGCCCCTTACTTTTCAATTCTCCTTTACTTGACTTCTTTGCTCAATTCACCTAGCCAAATAAGAACAAACACAATAAGTAACTAAAAATAAAATAAATAAAGACACGATCAAAATAGTACTAATTCCTAATTGTTTCAAAAACACAGCGTGGCCAAATCAATCCCCGGCAACGGTGCCAAAACTTGGTGTGTTTCTTCCTAAGGTCGTATTAACACTAACAAGTTGCAATGAAAGTGTGGCCAAGTTTAAATTTATAAATGTCACTACTACCTCTAACTATTAATATAGCTAGGGTGAGTAGGGATCGTCACAAGGAATTGGGGGCTATGTTAATATGGAAACAAGGTCGGATTAATAGGTCGAGTGATCAAAAGGTGTTTTGTTGGTTAATTAAACTACAATGTAAATGTATTCAATACTAAGCAATTGAAGTAAATAAAAGGGTAGAGAACAAGAGAGAGAGGTCTTGGGATCTAGCGGTCACCACTAAACATCACCATTCTAGACGCTCAACGTAAAATGAATGAAGGGAAACATATGTTGCAATACCAAGAGGTGTGATTGATTGAATCAACAAGTATAGATTGACTAATTAAGCATATAATGTCTAGAGAACCTAGTGAATAGCACAATATATCAAACTAAGTCATTATTCCTTCTTTTAAGCTCACAATCAACACACTAACAAGTTAGAGAATTATACTACTTGCATTTATAAGTTTGGAACATCAAATAATAAGCATGGATTGTCTTCACATCTAAGATTGGCCGATGTTAAATTTTCAACCAATGATTAATTTTTTGGTTAAATAACATTTTCTTGTCAACCAACAATCCTTCAAACATTTCTAGTTGTCATATAAACACCCATTAACATTGCAGTCCAAATTTCATATAAACACCCATTAACATTGCAGTCCAAATTTCATATAAACACCCATTAACATTGCAGTCCAAATTTCATATAATAAGTCATGGCCACATGAAACAGATCTTATAGAAGTAAAATCATATAAAATTGAATCAAATAAAGGAAGACCCAACCTCACTAACCTTTGTTTTCGTTTGCAGTTTACTTGAGCCGTCCACATAGCCATACCAGATATGAAAGATGTAACATCGGCGGGTACACGACTAGAACAGCCTAGGCGGTGGCCGGACCGACCCTTCTCGAGAACTTATGCTTGGAAACAGCTTTGGAGATAACTCGTAGAGACTGAAATGCTTTCTTCTGATCGAGAGGTGACACAAAATCTACTAACCTTGGCAATTTAATCACTATTCTCATTTTCCGAAACAGAACTTTTACTCCATTACAAACTCTGAAGATTGCAGGAGGCAAGTAAAATAAAGGGGACTTATTCAGAACTTCACAAGGATACTTTGTGAGGTCTGTGCATGTATATTTGATTGGTGATTGGAGTGTGTATATGAACTGATCTGTCTGTGGTGGATGGTTGTGTATGGACCACTGATACCTCAGTGATTTTCTGTAGGTCTTTTTTTTCTCCCCTTCATATGAATACCACGCTACTTTAAATAGACTCACAAGAGATTAACAATAACTGATGGGATAAGATAGCACATATCAAGTTATATATTTGAATTAACAACTTTATTTGAATTTAAAAAATAAAATAGGATATATCAGTTATCTATTAATAACTAATAACTTTAATTGAATTCAAAAAAATACGATATATCAGTTATCTATTAATAACTAATAACTTTATTTGAATTAAAAATAAAATAAAATAGATGTGATAGACAAGAAATAAGATTCTCGTTACTTTTATAGATATATATATAATACATAAAATAAAAAGTAAAAATAAAATAAATATTTTAATATATGAAAAGTAACTAGAATCTTATTTCTTGTCTATCACATCTATTTTATTTTATTTTTAATTCAAATAAAGTTATTAGTTATTAATAGATTATATATATATATATATATATATATTACTTACATTCTGGGTCATGGCTTTGAGGACACGACCTTAATGGATCATACGAAACCTGGTCATGGTTTAAGGCCAAGACCTAATACTAAAAAAGTTCTATACTTTTTTTATTTTATTATTATTTTAGTTATTTTTATTTCTTTTTTTTCAAGTTATATATATTTTTTTCACCTAAGGTTCTGACTTTATCCTGGACATAACGGCAGGATTCGTATTCTTAATTGGGGATTAAATTAGACCATTTTCAAAATTTTAATCAAACTTTAATGGGTTAGGAATGCAAAATTACTATTTTGCCCCTTCCTTGATCAAGTACTAGGAGTCGCATTGCGAACCTGACTCTAATGTTTTGAGTCCTTCCGAAACCATTGGTGACATTCATTTTATGATCTGGTGGTCTGATTTTCTAATTTTCTAATTTTCCTGGCTTGGCCAAACTAGTTTTATCGAAATACCCCTTAAAATGGGTAGGGGCAAAATTGGGTATCTACATGTGAGTTATAATGTAAAAATGGCTCAAAATCCTTTTATAGGTAGCTCAAGTATGACACCCCATGGTCATGTCTCGTGCACTAGGGTCCCTTCAATGATTGCACCACGAGCCATCTTTTAATGAGCTGGACTTGTTTTAATTCGGATTTGAGGAGGTTCGATCGATCAAATTCAGATGAGATCGATCGAACTGTAGCCAGATCCATCGCAGTAAGGCTAGATCGATCAATCCTTGGTGGCGCCTTTTTAGAATACAACAAATCTCTGAGATATTTTTGAATATTTTGGGAAAAAGACAAAAGTGGTAGATGAGGATAAGATCAAGGAAGTTCAATCGATTTGAAGAAAGTTGGATTGATCGAAGATGGAAATTCTTTGAGGATAAGGATAAGGGGTCTGATCCATCTTGGTAAGGTGAGATCGATCAATGTGAGATCGATCGAAAATATTCCTGATCGATCGAAGTTTGCTGATTTCCACCACTTTATTTCCACTTTGCTCCATTCTTCCATTTAGCTTGAGATTACTTCTTTTATGCTCTAATTTGGCTGAATTGACTTATTTTGGGGATAAACACCTGAAAAGGGCAATAATATGAAATTAGTCTAAAACGGGAAAGTAAGATAAATAAAGGTCCTAGAATACTCGAGCTTAAGGGGTTTAAATGCGCACTTTTCAGCATTCATCAATACTTAATTAGTCATCCATGCTTGTTGATTCAATCAATCACACCTCTCTGTATTGCAACACATATTTCCCCTCAGTCATTGTACATTGAGTATCTAGAATGGTGATGTTTAGTGGTGACCTCTAGATCCCAAGACCTCTATCTCTTATTTTCTACCCTTTATTTATTTTAGTTGCTTTGTATTGAATCTATTTACATTGTAGTTTAAATTAACATCAAACCATCTTTTGATCACTCGACCTACTAATCCGACTTTGTTTCCATTTTAAGCACACACTCGATCCCTTGGGACGATCCTTACCCACCCTAGCTATATTAGTAGTTAGTGATAGTAGTGGCACTTTATAAATTTAAACTTGGCCACACTTTATATGCAATTTGGGGTGTACACACGACCGACCACACCAAGTTGATTAATTTATTTTTATTTCGATAAATTTAATTTCAACAAAAATAATATAAAAGGATAAGTTGAAACTAATACCTATTAAAATAGGGGATGTAATAGCTATACTAAATAACTAACTCTTTATTAAGCACAGGATAAGATTCTTTTGAATTTATCAATATTCATAAATATATAGATTCTTTTCAGTTCAATATTGATCAATAAGAAGAGCTTATGGCTCTTGTACCATGGTTCCTTTTTGGGTGTGTGTGTTGTTTAACTGTTTTAGAGGCCTATTCAACTTATAATCAAAGATCTAAGCTTTTGAGATCAAAACATCTTAAAACTTTGATGTAAAAACACCAATAAGTGAAGTCTTCTCTTTATTCAATAATCTATGAGATTCCACACAATTTCTGATCTTATTTTACCTTTCAACATTGTTATATATATTATAACATACGATTACATTCTTAATAATAGATAAACTAATTAACATTCCAGGCTCACACTGAAACTGAAAATTCCATCCAATGCTATAACATACGATTACATTCTTAATAATAGATAAACTAATTAACATTCCAGGCTCACACTGAAACTGAAAATTCCATCCAATGCTTTCTGCCTTCTTGTCTTAATATCTTATTCACCAGCTCAAGGATGATAAGCAATAGGAATCACACACAAATCTCTTTTTCTGTTAACCGTTGCACCAAAAACCTCATCCATGTCAAGATCTTCTAGCTTCTGTCCCTCGGGAAGTTTCCAGTCAAAGTGATACAATAAATTTGCAAGCGCAAGCTCAACATTAGCAATCCCGAAGGATATGCCAGGACACATTCTCCTTCCAGCACCAAATGGTAGATATTGAAAATGAGTCCCCTTGTAGTCAATTGAACTGTCAATGAACCTCTCAGGAACAAAGCTCTCTGGATCACTCCAATTTTCAGGATCAATACTAATTGCCCATACATTAACCAGTACTTGAGTTTTCGCAGGTATCTCATATCCATCGATTTCACATCTCTCTCTGCTCTCTCTTGGAACTAATAAAGGGACAGGAGGGTGTACTCTCAAAGTTTCTTTGATAACTAACTTTAAGTAACTCAATTCATGGATGTCTTCTTGATTAATAATATTTCCTTTTTTACATAAAAGCTGTCTAACCTCAGCTTGTGCTTTTTTCATAACTCTTGGGTTTTTCAACAATTCTGACATTGTCCATACTAAAGTTGTAGATGATGTGTCAATCCCGGCAATGAACATGTCCTGGAATAGCATTGAAATTTAGTTTAAAATAATTTGTGGAAGTTAATTCATTGATATTGATAGAAGCATAAAGTAAATGTACTAACCATGATAGTACACTTGATGTCTGTCATACTTAAAGGGATCTCAAGATTACCCTCTTTCTGAAGTCTTAGAAGAACATCTACCAGGTCTTCACGATTAGCTTCACCGTCACCGGTCTGTGTTGACACCTTCCTAGCTTTATGTTCATCGATGATGTTGGTCAACACCCTGTCAAGTTTTTGATGCATCTTTTCGAGTCTAGGCTTCAGCCCAGTTATCCAAGCAAGCATTTTAACTGAAGGAAAGAGATCAGCAACATGGAAACCTCCTGTTTTCTCTATGGTTTCCTTGATAAGTGCTATAAATTCTTCTTGCCCATGGACTGTCGAACCAATGGCCGCCTTTGCAATGATGCCGCATGTCAACGAGGAAAGCTTTTCACTAAGATTCATCAGAGATCCTGAATGCATCGAAATTGATTTGATGAAATTTGATGTCTCTTCTTCCCTGATGGGTCGGAATGATTGGACACGTTTGGCACTTAAAAGCTCCAGTATGCAAATTTTCCGAATTTGTCTCCAAAAATCCCCATAAGGTTGAAAGGCAATGCCTTTCTCAGATAAGATATTTACAGCAAGAATAAAAGGCCTGCTAGCAAAGACAGTGTCATGTGTTTTCATCACCTCTTTCGCAATCTCTACCGAAGAAATGACAGCAATAGAAACTTGTCCAAGTCGCAGGTACATCAGAGGTCCATGTTTCATGGCCAAATCTCTTAGGCAGCGATGGGGTAGAGATCCAACAAATTGGTGAATGTTTCCTATTATAGGTAGCTTCCATGGCCCAGGAGGCAGTTTTGGAGTTGAACTGGTCTTGGTTTTAGATACTATTTTGAATACCATGAATAGAAAGAGCAGGAATGTGAAAAGAATTGGGAAGGAGAGGGACGGGAACTCCATCATCAATTGTAGCGCCGCGCTCGAGAATTCACTTGTCTTAGTGGTATGATTGCTTTTCATCCAGATTTCTGCTTGCTGTGGAGCCTTGAAGTTCTGCAACATCCTACCATTTTCAGTTTTCTTTTCTAGGTTGTATATATGCATGGTTCCTTTGTTTTATGAATAAAGATGCTTTAAGTTGTTTCCATCATTTGACACAATTATATATCTAAAATGTTAACCATTGAATCAATTAAAGAAATTTAGATACATGTTACAAATGAAGCATGTATGAACAGGTGAATCAGACCTTATGACAAGATTCTGCAATGTCTTTCAGACATTTTTGACACATCCACCTTCAAATATGACAGATAAACCTTATTTATATTTCATATCCACCTTCAAATATAATCTTCTATCTGCATCGATCACTTGCTTCTACTATGTTTATTTTAGTTTAGTTACTAGTAAGTTGCTAACACAAACTAGGGCATGTAGCTAATTACTAGTAAGTTCTATTTTAATTACTAGTAAATTGCTAACACAAACTGGGGATGTATATTCCTTTTCTAACTCTAACACTCGCAGCCACACATACAAAATCCTACTCTGCCTCCTCCCTGTTTCTTCCCCTTATATGACAGTCAAAATCAACCCCTGAATCCTCGTGGATATTCCTGATGTTAGTATCTTTATGCTGTTTCTACTTCTCAAAAGCTCAGCAAGAAATCGAATTCAAATGTTTATAACACAACTAATCTTCATGCAAATAAATAAAACACACACAAAAGGTGAATCACATATGAAGATGAGACCACTTCATTGAAAGTTTTCTAATTAACATATAAATTATTTCTAAAATGACGAAATGTTATATGCAAATTAGGAAGAGAACGGAGAAGATGGTGATTACTTGAGCCCACGAATAGTTACAACAAATGTGGAAACGAAAAACTAAGAATTGACAGAAGAAGAAGAAAAATCAAACACCACACCGAATTTTATATTTAGGGTTAATTACACGCACATAATTACACCCACACTCCCTAAAATTTGCTCTATTGACACCTAGTTGAAAATTGACCACTCACACCCTTTGTTAGAAATTTAACCTAAACAGGCCCTTACAAGGTGCAAAAGGACAAAATTACCCTTCAATAAAATATTATGTTTTGATCTAAAAAATTAAAATATTTAAATTACAAAATTACTCATTAACATTATTACCACATTTTTCTATGTACAAACCCAGAAATCTGCAATTCTCTCTCTCTCTACCCTTTCACTTCCGTGAGAAACCCACCACCACCACTTCCACCGTTGTCACCCTTTCACACATGGAACCAACTATTTTTAGACCAATAAATCAACCACCACAACCACTTAACAGTCCCGGCACACCCGCCGCCGCCACTTCTTATCCCCGCCGCCATCACTTCACGCTCCCACCTCTCATATCTCTATATATTTATGTGTGTGTGTGTATATATATATATATATATGAAAAAAAAAAAAAAAAAAAAAAAAAAAAAAAACCATAAGATTCACAGCAATCTGAAACCCAAATTTTGGTATTTTATAAATATAAAAAAAATGTGGGATTTTATAAAAATTTGGGAATCGTAGAAAAAAATTCTCATCTTGGCTTGTCCATTTGGTACGATGAAGTATATTTTGATTCACTCTTTGTCCGAAAGAGGGGATCTTTTGAGTGTTGAATCATTTCGTTAAGAGAGATAGGTCAGCAGTACAACCGGTAAACCTTGACGGGACTTTTAAAAAATGAAATACTAAAATACTTAAAATGCCCTCAAGACTGTTGTCGGATTTTTATAAATAAATACAAATTAAAAAAATTAGTCAAAACTAACGACAATTTGGTACAAAATTTTACACATTCTAAATAACATGAGTGTTTTCTACCCAATAAGAATAATAATAATTACTTATAAAAAAATGCATGCATGTACCGCGAAAGGGAGAGAGAGAGAGACATACAGAGTTGGGGATATAGCTCTAAAGAGTTGCCTTGTCTCTTCATTGTAGATTGGAGAAACAGTGTAAATTGAAACATATAACCAAGTCTGTGAATTAGAGAGAACAAATGTATGCCCATATATAGAAAAACTTTTGGTCTACAAAATAAGAGTAAGAGTAAGGCAGTGGTCGTTGTTTTCCACTGGACACGCGACCTTTGAGTCCCTGTCCAATTTATGAGTTTTGGAAATTCTCTCAGTTTGGTCAACGTTCAACAAAATACAACGGCGTTCCAGAAAAAAAGTTATTATTATTATTATTTTGTTTTTTCTCAGAAAGAAATTATTGAATCACCAAATTCTATGTATCTTAAAAGTTGCATTGTTGAAGACAATATTGTTGTCCAATAAAATGTTTCTGCTTAAAAAGACTTTTCTTCAATTACACAATTCAAAAAAAGGGTCTGGGTTCCATTAATAATTCATGTTAGGAGGGCAACTTGGACCTATGTTACTCTCTTTGCACTTAATTCTCTTGTCTTATTTGGGCGTTTGTTATTATCCACGTAGCACGGATAGAGATACAGAACACGAGCACGATGCGATATAGATACGTCGATACGTTAAATTTTAAAAAAGTAAGACACAGATACGGCGTGGGCACACCTACATATATATATATATATATATATATATATATATATATATATATATATATATATATATTTATTCAGTAATAGTATTATAAAACTTTAATTCATTTATAATTTTTATACTAAGAGTTGTTCTGAAATAAATTAGAAAATGAAATTATGTCATTATTGTAACGATTTTTATATCATATATACCAGTATTTTACTACTTTGTAATGATAGTATTCATATTATTTTTAAAATTAGTGGGTAGACTTGTATTAGAAATGTCTTAGAAGTGTCAGTGAAGTATTCGGAATGTGTTAGCAAAGTGTTTAAGAAGTGTCGGCGAAGTGTCCGAAATAATAAAATTTATTTTTATTTATGGACACGTATATGAAGTGTCGGACACGTATCCAAAGAGTGTTGGTGTCCAACGCGGATACGATACGGTACGGCTTTTTCGTAGAAGTGTCCGTACTTCCTAGGTTATTATGAATTAGATTTGAGCTAATTATGTATTAGATTATCTTTTTTTATATATAATTTATATGAATTAAATTTTGGCTAATTATGTATTAGATTAAATAAAAAATAAAGTAAAAGTAAAGGAAAAGATTACCAATAAATCTTAGGGCCTGTTTGGAGTTTGTAGTGTGGTGTGGTGCAGTGCTTTAGCCTAGAACAGAATAAGTGTTTTGTAGTGTGGTGTTTTGAAATGAGAACAAAACATGTTTGGCGCGTTACAATTGCTTTGAGAATTTTGGAACAAAAATATGGTAGAACATGTTTGGCAATGTGTTTCGTTCTAAGAATTATGAGAACAAAACATGTTTGGCAAAATTAAAGTGTAACCAAAATCAATAAAAAAAATATTATTAAAAATTAAATATATAGTAAAAATTAATTATTGCATTATTTTAATATACAATTAATATAACATTTAATATATATATATATATATATATATATATATATATATATATTGTTAAAAATTCTTCTTAATTTATTATAAAAACCAATAAAATATATTCTAAATTTTAAAAATTATTAATGTTGCATATTATTTTGACAGCATTATTTCAATATCGAACTGAAATAAACTTTCAATATATTAAACATTACATGAAATTGTATATATTACAGACATTAGTTTCATAAATATTACATCATTTGTCAACATGCACAATAAAAGTGAGTACAAAATAAAATTAAACTAATATATTACATCATTTATCAACAACCACAATAATCAACAACAACAACATGAGAAATAACATAAAGAATATAGTTATAGTAAGACAACAACAACAATCATAGATCATGTAATTTTGCCGATTTTGTTGAGCTTGCATAATAGTAACTACATTCTCCAACTCTTCCTCCACATGACCACCCACTTGTAGATGTTGGTGCATCTCATCCACCCATATAAATGCACAAACATGTGACTAAATCAGAACAAAGACTTGTATATTATTAGAGTGCACTTGTGACACACACATGTAGTTAAAAAAAAAAATTATTAATTAAAAAAAAATGTATACCTCCCAAGCTGGACATCTATAGAATGAACGTCCATAATTCTTTAAAGTTGCAGCCGTATAAAGATTCATTCGACCCCTTCCACATGCACACGGTGGCCCGTCACCCTGTATCTTATACATGACTGCATATACAAGTTATTAAACTGATCCAAAAAAGTTAAAAGTGAAAATTAAAATAAAATAAAAAAGATAATCATATAGTTACCACTATTTTTACATTTATCGAAATCGTAAATTAATGTTAAAATAAATATTTTATTACAGTTATTGAAATCCATACAAATAGTTAAAATAAAGTAGTTGTTACAGTTATCCAAATACCAACAAATGGAACAAGTATAAAGTAGTTCTTACAGTTATCCAAACATGATAAACATGTAAATCCTTGTTCAATGGTGCTGACTTGCATTCCATATAGTGTCAGCAATATTATCGCGTAGAATATCCATTGGTCGCGAGCGAGACTGCGATGCATTAGGCAGAACATCAACTTCATCATCTCTAAAAATTTCATCTATCATCGCTTCCACAATTGCATCATTAAATATTGGATCTACATGCGCCTCCTTTCTTATAAAGTTATGAAGTGTGGAGCAGGCTAACACAATAGCAACTTGAGCTTCAAACTTATATGGGGGCATTTGCTTCAAGATGGGGAATCTCATCTTAAGCAACCCAAAACAATGCTTAATTATATTTCGTAATGACGAGTGCCTGTGATTATATATTTCCTCTCTACCTTGGGGTTGGCGAGAAGCTCTACGGTACTCTTGGAAGTGGTACCGTTGGCCCCTGTAGGGGGTCAAGAAACCCGGTTGATTGGCATACCCGGAGTCCACCAAATAATATTTCCCTGCCATTTTACAAACTATAAGCCACATTTTTTTACCATGATATTTTAAATAAGTATTGCAAAATTATAGCAAGTATGACATTTACCGTCTGGAGGCATTGGGAAATGCAAATCCTCATTATTAATGGTCTCGTTCAATATCTTAGAATCATTAGCAGACCCCTCCCATCCTGCTACGACGTACGTGAACATCATATTAAAATCACAAACAGCCATTACATTTTGTGTGGTATCTCCCTTCCTACCACGAAATGGTATTTACTGGTCCACAGGCACGTTCGCATGGACATAAGTTCCATCAATTGCCCCTACGCAATGCCTAAAAAAAGGGTGGTACTTTTTGTTCTTCTTTATATGGTTAGGAACTTCGCTAAAATCTGGGGCGACAATAATCTGTTTCGCTAAATCACAGACTTTTTGTAAAACTGCATGGAAGTATTTTGAAATTGCATAGGTGGAGTGTTGAAATCTTTCTGCGACCACACGATTTCTTTCATTATGACCTAAAGTAAGCAAGAATATGCCAACTTGTTCATAAACACTTACACCTGCAGAGTCTTTCAACCCTAATGACTTAAGCTCCCCACATAACTTCAAAAAAACAGGGGTGGACATCCTGAAATTTTCAAAACATCTATTTTCATGCCCCTGCAAGATCTCCATTATATATGCTTCCCCAGTTAAAAGAGAATCCCTACAAGGTTGTTTATCGTAATGTTTCCTATAATACTCCAACATGCATGCCATTACGATAACACAATCATTATCCTCATCACCATCGTCATACAAATCAATTATTATCCTAATATCCATCTGTATAAGTCAAAATTTAATAAACGAGATTAATTACAATCATCCCAAGCGAAATACCAAATAATAAATAAAAGCAAGATAACAAATAAAGTCAAATCAGTTCATTAAATAGTTATATTGTCACGAGCTTCAAACTAAATAACATAAATACGAGCGTACTTAATATTACAATCAATTAAAGTCATAACAACACCAAATAAGAAATAAAAGCAACACATCAACTAAAGTATACTTAATAGTACAGTCATCCAAAATCATAATAAAAGCAACATACCAAATTAAAGTCCATTGATCTAACTAACCCTGTTATCATCAGGACAGTCATTAAGAAAGAAATCCCTCCAAATTTCATCATTACGTAACATATGGGTGACCTTACCATATTGTTTCATATTAACACCCTCCAAGTTATTCAAAATATAACAACATAACTTAAAATCACTTTTTGTCTTGTCGGGAGATTGACTTCAACCTCCACATTTCCTTCATTAACTGTAATCATATTAGATGATGAAGAAGCGACTATGGCTCTTTCAATTCGATCTGCTTTCTCTCTATCTCTCTCTTTCATATAGTGCATGAGCTCGCTTATTGTGGAGGCAAAACTCTCTCTCTTTGGTTTCTTACCACGAGGTTCAGGAGAAGGACTGAACTCATGACCGCCTAACTCAGCAAAATCATCATTAAGATCAAATGAGGTATGTATGTCTGCATGGTGTGCGGGGGCTTGGTTCATAATGGGTGGACTATACGAAGTATGGACATGTGCACCTGTAGCGTGTGTGCCTCCAAATATGGTGGTGAGCTTGTCAAAATGATTGCATGGCTTCTTTCGATACTTACTATATTGGGCATTCACCTACAAATTATTAAATTACTATTAATATTAAGATAAGTATACTTTTTTGTAAAATCAACAGACATTTATTTTAATAACTAACCTTGATCAATCTACTCCATCTTTCTTTTTCAACTATAACCATGCCTGTCTCAGCATTGAATCCCACGCTTGTTTCTCCTAACAAACTCACAAACGCTTTGTAGTCTGTTCTCAAGTGGTTGAATTTACTCTTAAGTTGTTTCAGTACAAGATTGTTGCCTATACGGACCATCATGCCTTTTAGTATATTCTTCCAACCAATTGCACTAAAAGTTGTGTTACTCCGATTACCAGCCTTCACTTCTTCCTCCATACAGATGATGAAAGCTTCAACCTGAGAATCATCCCATACTAGTTTTCCATCATCGGTATTGTCTGTAAGGTCCTCTATTTCTTCTCCCACCACATTGTCAGCATTGATATCCATCTAATTACATAGTTATAATAAAAATGTGTTAAAAGGGTCATACATGCTCTAAAACTCTCCATCTTCCCCATTACCAAAATCTTAAATCGCAATACATAAAACATTTGAAAAAAAAATCTTAAAGAAGTGTAGCCTCTGGGGGTTTTTCACATCACTTGTAATACCTTCTTTTTGCTTGGTTTTTATTCAGGCCTTACCATTCAGACTACAAAAATGACAAAAACTTTGAAAAGCTCTCCTTTTTTATTCTGATTTCATTCTCTTGCACCCTTATTTTCCTTCTCTTTTTTTTTTTTTTTTTAAAAAAAAAAAAAAAAAAAAAAAATTCCATTTAGGAGCAGTAGTACTACCAGTGAGGCCAAGATGGCTCAGGGGTCATCAGCTCCTCTGAACATTCTTGACTGGTCAAAGATTTACAGAAACAGTACTGCAAAGAAAGGTGATGATGTTTATGGCTATGGGGATTATTATGATGTTGTTGATGATGATGAAATGGTGCCTCCACATGAATATATAGCTAGGAAGCTTGCAAGAAGTCAGGTTTCTTCTTTCTCCATGTGTGAAGGGATTGGAAGGACACTCAAAGGAAGAGACCTCAGCAAAGTGAGGAATGCGGTTTTAACCAAGACTGGTTTCCTAGAAGAGTAATGTTATTGAGGCCTAAGAGTTTGAACGATCCGTATCCAGTCTTCGACTTTGTATATTGTTCAAACTCTTTGACTGTAAAATTAATATCGTTCTTAAAATGATGGCTTAAATTAATCTCCACCATCATTATCATTTTGTGGCATGTTTACTAGTGATCATGATCAGTGGTTGTCATGGTGTGACCATCATGGGTAAGGGTACTTAATTTGTGGAGTAATTTTTTTTTTGCTGTTATTTTATTTTTTGAATTTGGTATTTGGCATGTTATGTAACATGGGTGAGTTGAGCTAGAGCATTGAGTTTCTAGAAGAAATCAGAGCTGTCCTTTCTCCTTTGAAAAAAAAAAATAATAAATAAATAAAAATCTGTGATAGTCTCTGAAATTTTGTTCACTAGATGTGTATCACGAAATATGAAAAGGACTTTCCGAAAATATATATATATATATATATATATATATATATGAAAAGGAATTGGTTTATCTTCATGCATGCTGCATATTTTGGCAGCTTTTGCATTTTACTGTTATTAGCTTGTAATTATTTAAATTAGTAGGCAGTAGTTCTCTTAATAGTGTTTGAATATAATGTTAATAATGATTTACGCTCATTTTTCATGTCTATAAAGACTTGAACCTTCGCCCTATCACTTTGGAACACTAAAAGTACTACTGGGTAGTCTGGGTTACAATTCTTGAGTGCTTTGTTTGTTATATAAAATGAAGATGGGTCACAAGATTGAACCTTCGCCCTATCACTTTGGAACACTAAAAGTACTACTGGGTAGTCTGTGTTACAATTCTTGAGTGCTTTGTTTGTTATATAAAATGAAGATGGGTCACAAGATTGATAGGCAAAATAAAAAAAATTAAAAAAAGAAGAAGAAGAAGAAGATTGATAGGTAAGCATATATTTTATTATTGAAGAAGAATTTTTTTTTTGGTGTTGATATGATATCTTAACTTAATTCTTAATTACTTACCCAACGCTCTGTACTCATAGCCACCAAAAGATGAAAGACTTCTTTAAGATTTGAAAAAAAAAAAATTTGTTTCTAGTTTGAAAAAAAAAAAAAATAGGGGTTAAAGTCATAAAAGCTCCCTCAACTTTTAAAATCGTGCATAAAATTTCCAAACTCATAAAACTTATTAAGTTACCTCAAACTCCTATTTTTTTGCTCTGAGAATTTTCTCATCAATATTAACTGAAATAACATAAAAAATTGTAAGAAATCTCAACATACCAAGATGAGAGAGAAGAGGAAATGGAGAGAGAGCTTGGGTAAACCGAGAGTGCAGAGAGCAGCAGCGAAGCTTGGTTTCGCCGGAAAATGTAGAGGTGAGACAGATGGAGGTCAGATCTTCATACAAACATGGTCGATTTGAAGCCCGATCTTCAAACAACGGAATCCACGTTAGACAGAGCACAAGGAAAACCAGAAGAAGAAGTAGAGGAACTCACCAAAGAATGAAGAAGACGACCTTCAGATCTGATTCAACCCCACTGTAGTGACAAGAAGAGCACTGTGACTCGCCTCTGGAACAGCTTGCTTCGTGAACCCTACAAAGTGTTCTGCGATATTTTATAGCTGTGGTCAAAAGTGAGTATTTTGTTCTGATAGCTTCAGTATTATGTGGGCCGATACAGTATGGGAACAAGCAAGAACACCTATTTTTTGTTCCAACAATTGGCCCATTTTTGCCAAATGTTCCAGCACTATTTAAAACAATACAAGCCATGCCAAACACGTTTCGGGCCAGAACAGTAGAATTTTGCACTGTTGGGAAGGGAGTAGAACATGGTAGAACAATGCTCAAACAGGCCCTTAGTGTCTAAATGCGGTGGAAAAAATACATACTGCCACCTTCCACCTACTCTGTCACAGTCATCACCTTATACCTACGCTGTCGCTTCCACCGTCGCCAGGCACAGATCTATGAAGGACTTAGTCAGGCAAGTGCTCCCACTAAATTTTTTTATTTTTATATTTTATATCTCTAAAATTATTTTTTTTTTTTGCATTTATATCTATAAAAATTTAAAATTGCCCCTTAAAAAAAAAAAAAAAAAAAAAAAAGACACCCTTTATGTATATTTGTTCCCCATCATATAAATTCCTAGATCCGTCCCTGACCGTCACCTCCACTGCCATATACTAGTCACTTAGATGGATATTTTGGAGAATTCAATTTAAAATTAGTTATTTAGAGGAGTATTTTGAAAAATTTAATTTGAAATTCATTCCATTATAAATTTTAAATTGGTCCAACTAAATACTAGAATAGTAATTATCATTCCATTGCTATATTATTTTATATTTTTAACCAAATAATAAATTGAGAATGACCATTACATTACATTCTCACTTGTAACAATTCCAGCATACCAAATGTCATACATGTAATGCAGATAGCCATACAGTCACAGTCACACACACATTTCTAGTCAATTAGAGCTTAATCTATTTTGTAGAGAGTATAAAAAGGGTAGAAGAAAGCAAAAATGACCACTGCTAGTACCTCTTATAAGACCTACGGAATCTGTCCAATCTCAACCTTTTTAAATGGGGCCGGCACAATATTATGTAAGGCTGCGAAAAATATAAAAAAGAATAGATAATGATGTTTATCTTTTAATTCTTTCATATGTTGAATTTTTATCAAATAAATTTTGTTATGTTTTTTTTATAACATGACTTGTGTGTTTTTTTTTTTAGATTGAATTAGATTATTCATATCCCATTAATACTTTTTAGTAGAAATATCCAATAATATAAATAAAATTAATCAGAAACAAAAAATAAACTTTTATGATGACAAAAAATAATAAGACTACAAAATAATTTAGGTTAAACAACAATAAAAATTGTCAATAAACTTTTATGATGACAAAAAATAATAAGACTACAAAATAATTTAGGTTAAACAACAATAAAAATTGTCAGAAAATTTTTATCAATACTCTAACAAATTCTTCAATACTTTTAATCTTATTTTTTAGCTTCTAATAAACTTATGGTAACCAAAGTAAAAATTTGCTACCTTTAAATCCTTAGTCCCAAAGTAGTCTAAAAAGGGAGGAAAGATAGGTATATAAATTAGGAGTTTTAATAGAAAGTGGAATGAAATTTTTTTTAATGAATTAAATTATTTGGAACCACTATTAAATCTCTAATAGAAAGAAATACTAGTTTTAGAGAATTCTTATTAGCTGAAGCCGGTCACGTCTAATACTTTAGGCGGCCCTAGGTGGAGCTTATGTAAGCAAAATAATAATTCAGCAAAAATAATAATTTTATTACTCCCCACCAACCACCAACTCACAAGCTAACTAAAATGACTATTTTATTACTCCCACCTACCACCAACTAACAAATTCAAATTCAACCATTACAATAGTATACCACATGTGTAAATCAAATTTTATTATTATTATTTTATTTTTATTTATTTATTTATTTATTTATTTTGGCAAAAGAGTAAAAAAAACTTTCTTAAACTATTTCATTTTTACATCATGCTTCCCTGAACTATTTTTAAGAGCAACACAGCCCTCTCAACTATAAGAATGTTGTCTATTGCCCCTTTGATAACACTTTTTGGCCACGGAAGTTCATTGCCGACCAACAAAATGACACAATTACTAATTTACCCTTTATTTATTAATTTATTATAAAAATATAAAATTCATTGATGTAAAATACCAATAATACCCTCATTTTTTATTTTATTTTTTTCTTCAATCTTCCCCGCCGCGGAAAGCCCCGACGAGTCAGAAGTCTCTTAAAATATTAAAATTTAATATCTTTGCCAATGATTAAAAAAAGACATATAGTTCTCTTAAAATATATAAAAAAAGACATTATAGTTCAAATATACAGAAGTCTTAAAGAGTATTTTCAACAAATCTCTTACATTACTGAAGTCTATCCCATCAAAATACCTGTTAAGAAAAGTGTTTGAACATTACATGAAGATAATATAATTAAAAAATAATGAAACAGTCAGTGAAGAACATTATCATACCTGATAAATGGTTGATCTATTTCTGACCCTTCTTGAGTAACACCCCAATCTTCTTCAACATGTTACCATTTTTCTTCTTTGCTGAGTCATCTTCCATGTCTTCTGAAAAAGGCGAACCCATCTTTCCGCTGATAGTATGGCAATTGTTGTCGAGAGACCCTGTTCTCTTCACGAATTTCCCATTATTTCCTGCAGAAAGCATAGCAGTAGCTGTCTCGGAAAATCATTTTTGTCGAAATCACTCTAGTCATGCAGTTGTGAGTTGTTTTATTTCAGCCTTAATAATATGTCGTGAATGAAAGTGTGATTTTTTAAAAATAAACACCTATTTTCTCTTCTTTTATTCTTTTATTTCCCTTTGTCCCATTCAAAATAGTGTTATTTTTTTATTTTATATATATATATATATATATATATATATATTATATACAAATGGTAAAAAATAAATTTAAAAAAGGGAAAGAAAAAAAGAGAGGGTGAGCTGGAGGGAGGATATTTAGGTGCTGGAGGGAGATACTGATATTGATACCATGTAGGAGAGAGAGATTTATTTATTTTTTGAAAAATAGGAGAGAGAGATTTAGAGAGAGAAGATATCAAGAGAGAGAAAGAGATGGAGAGAGAGAGAGAGAGAGAGAAGGATCACGAAATATCTGTGACCACCCTTTAATATTTTCATGCTGATTCCCACCCTTTTCCCGAGAAAATTCTTCGCTATTTGATATATTAACTTAGAAAATTCCTCCCTATAAGATTGTATCCAAAATCTTGGATTGCTTCTGGACTCGTCGGGGCTTTCCGCGGCGGGAAAGATTGAAGAAAAAAATAAAATAAAAATGAGGACATTATTGGTATTTCACATTCATGAATTTTATATTTTTATAATAAATTAATAAGTAAGAGATAGATTAGTAATTGTGTCATTCTGTTAGTCGGAAATTAGATTTCGGTGGCCGAAAAGTGTTATCAAGTGGGCAATATGCAACATTCCTATAGTTGATTTACTCAGCCCACACCTGTGTTCTAACTCCTT